GCACCTCTGTGATCCCTGCACCAGGGAGGCTGTGGCCTGAAGGCCCTGAGTTTGTAGCCAGCCTAGATAGAATACTTCAAAATCAAGAGCAAACAATGTGGCCAGAAGGATGGCATCCTTATGGCAGCTTATAGTAATCCATAAGGGATCCAATGCCTCCCTCTGGTGTGCAGACACCAATGCAATCAAAGCACCCAGATACATACAATATAAAAACAAACCCTACCCTCCCCAGACAGTTTCTCTGTGTAGCCCTGGCTGTTCTGGAACCCGATCTGTAGACCAGGCTGGTCTTGAACTCACAGATCACTTGCCTTTCCCTCCTAAGTGCTGGGATTAAAAGTCAGTGCCACCACTGCCAGGAGACAGATAAATATTTTTTTAAAAACTGAACAAAAGAGCTGGAGAGATGGCTTAGCAGTTAAGAGCACTGACTGCTCTTCCAAAGGTCCTGAGTTCAATTCTCAGCAACCACATGGTGGCTCATAGCCATCTGTAATGAGATCTGATGCCTTTTTCTGGTGTGCAGGAATACATGTAAGCAGAACACTATATACATAGTAAATAAATAAATCTTTTTTAAAAATCTTTAAAAAAAATGTTTTGAAAGCCATCATTTAATAGAAATAGGACTTTAGGGTTGGAGAGGGCTCCGAAGCTAAGAGTGCTTGGAGCATTTATTGTTCTTGCAAAGGACCCAGTTTGACTCCCAGCACCTACACAGCACCTCACAACCATTCATAATTCCAGTTCCAGGGGTCCAGCCTAAGCTACAGGAAGACTGTCTCAAAAAATAAAACAAAACAAACAAACAAACAAAACGAAAACCAGGGCATGAGAACGTAGCTCAGCCGGAAGAGTGGAGCCCTGAGGTGGATCTCTGTCACTCTGTAAACCTGCTGGGCATGCTTGTAATCTGAACACTTGGGAGGAAAAAGGTCAAGATCACCTTCAACTGCATAGTGACTTTGAGGCCAGCCTGGGCTACATGAGACTCTGTCTCAAAACAAAACAAAACAAAACAAAACAAAACAAAACAAAACAGGTTAAAGAGATGGCTCAATGGTTCAGAGTATTTAGAGAGAATACCTCTTGTTGCAGAGAACCTAGGTTTGGTTCCCAGCACCTACATAACAGCTCATAACTCCCTGTAATTCCAGCCATAGGGGGATTCAACACCCCCTTCTGGCCTTCATGGGCAACTTCACTCATGTATACATACCACACACATATGCATAATTAAAATTCACATACCTCACAAATCAAACTAGACAAGGAAGAGCCCATTTAAACAATAAAACAGAACCCAGTATAGTGGCTAATCCCAGAACTAGGGAAGCAGAGACAGTTGGATTTCTGTGCGTTCCAGGCCAGTCATTGAGATCCTGTCTCAAAGAGGAAAGAAAGGAAAACAGCCAGAGCTGACCAAGGGTGACCATTTCTCAAGAGGGAGTTGGTGACAGGCACAGGGGAAGAGGAGAAAGCCTGGTGCAGCAGAGGTGGGGTCTCTCAAAGACCACACCTCCTAGACCTTCTTCCCTAATTCCCTCAGAGGCTTCAGGCAGACAGGATACCCAGTGGACTTGAGAGGCAAGCTGAGAGAGGCCAACAAGGCTTGAAGGTATACCCTCATACGAGGTTAGCGCCTCAGAGAATGAGATAGGAAGGCAGGTGGCTCATGAGGCCTTAAGAGTCACAGGACTTTATTGTTCTACTTCTTTAAAAGGTGGAGAGACCTAGCTCCAAGACCAGCGACATCCAAGAAGGTGGAGATAACCCTGGACGGTTGGGGAATGTCCTCCGCTAAGCTTCACCTTACCCTACAACTTCCTTTACAAATGGGTCACCTGTGTGGCAAAGAGCTGGTATATCAGTCCTCTCCTCCTCTGGATTATCTAAAGCAACCGGGGCTGCCTTGCTGCACTCCTGGTGGGACAGAGGGTTTTTCACTAAACACTGTAAAAAACATACGTGCATCCTTCTTGAAAGCGCCGAGGCCGGGTGTGGGCGGGACCTGGGAAGCCCTGTCCCCGGGGTGGAGCCAGTATTCTGACACCAGGTAAAGGCTAGGATCTTCCCAGAAAAGCGCTGCTACCTTAATGGGTAGTAATGGCCTTGCCTGCATCTACCAGGTCTTGCTTAGGGCCTTCTCCCTCCGACTACATCACGCCTCTCTTTGGATCCCCAAATTGGAGCAGGCGTGATCAGCAACAAAAGGAGAAAGTACAGAAATCCGGAGAAAAAGGGACAGGGCAAGGAGAGAAAGGGAAGAAAGGAGGGACAGGAAACTGACCATCTTCGAGAATTCCGAGACCTCACCCAGCCCCCTTCCCTGCTTGGCTCCCTTCCTTGGCAGTGGACTGCCAACAACAGCTGCATAGCGCCACCTGGTGGAAATGAATGTGATTGCGCCATCTCGGGGCCAGACAGGGGCTGGAAGGTTGGGGGTGTGTGGGATGCGTCATAGGCAGGTAGATTCACCTCAGAGCTCACTTCTCTAGTTTAGACCAGTTCCGGTTCTGTGGGTTTGGGATTCGATTGAAGCCCTAGAGCTGGTTACACCACTCAAGCAGAGGAATGCAAGCCTTGGGGAATAATAGAAAGAGAAGGCCTCTAATAGGCCTCAGCCAGTTTTGCCCTTCACCCCGGTCCTGGCACCCACTTCTCTAGAATGAGATAGCTCTAGGCAACCAAACCAGCCCTTGTGACCAAACATTTGCCCCAACTACTTGGCGTTCAGCACCGGCCCTGGCGAGCACTGGGTAAACATTGCTCAGACCCAAGGAAACAGAGGTTTGTGTACCTTGGCCTGAGCAAAAGAGGTCCAGAGCTGGAGAAGCCCCCCTTTGAGATCATTTAAAGAAGCCTGAAGAGTCTTTTGTAATGTACTCTCTAGGATGCTTAGGCTGCTCTAGAATCTGTGTATGGATCTTGCAAGCTGGGCAGGAGGTAGGAAGGACAGGAAACAGATGTCACTGAACTTTAAGTTCATCCCACAGGCAGTGGGTAGCCGGTGGAATATTGTACATCTGGAGATGACAAGGTCAGGACACTGATGTTTTGAAAGGTTAAATTTGTTGCAAATCTAGGGAGGACTGGCTTTTAATTCAGCCTTCAGGAAGCAGAGGCAGGCAGATGTACAGAGGCCAACCCCGTCCATAGAGCAAGTTCCAGGACAGCTAGATCTACACAGAGAAACACTGTCTCTAAAAACAAAACAAAACAAAACAAACAAAAAGAACTGGGAGAAAGGTAGCATTCCTGGGTCAGAAAGATGGCTCGATTGACAAAGGCGGTTAGATAATCTTAGTTTGATCCCCGGGACCCACAAAGTGGAAAAAGAGAGCCAACTCCTGCAAGATGTCCTCTGGCAGCTACAAAGGTGCCTTGGAAGATATGTACCCACACCCCCCAAATAAATGAATAGATTAAAAGTATAAACAAAAAATTTCAAATTGCTGATATAGCTGAGTGGATAATGGCACTTGCTGCAAAGTCAGATGACCTAAATTTGTTCCCTGGGACCCACATGGTAGAAGGATAGAATCAATTCTAGCCTGTTGTCTTCTGACCTCCGGGGTTGTGCGCGCACGCACACACACACACACACACACACACACGAAAGAAACAAAGAGAACAAAAATAAATAAATACAATGTAATTATAAAATGTAGGGGCCAAAGACACAGATCAGCAGTGACGTTTGCTTGTTACTCTTTCTGAGGACCTGAGTTCAATCCCAGCACCCACATCAGGTGCCTCACATCACCTGCTGCTCAATTCCAGGAGATCCTATAACCTCTTCTAGCTCTCAAGACCACATGCAGCACGTGCTGCGCTTGGATACATACAGACAAATGGTTTAAATCTTTTAAAGGTGTAGAGCACTGAACTACGGGGGGAGGACTCCCTTGGTAGGTAGGAGGACATAGTGGGTGTGAAGGAGTGTCCTGAGTGGGGCAGCAGTGGGGTCCATCTGCTCTTAGCCTTTAGGAAGTGGATCTAGGGAAGACCTTGCCACATGTTTATGGGGGAGTTCCAACAGCAGATGGGAGGGAAGTTTGAGGAATCTCAACGCTCAGATCTGAGAAAAGATGGATGCAAGAAGTTTGAACATGTGGCAGAGGGTGAAGGGTCCCAGTTGTGTGAAACCGGAGGGAGCCCACAGATGTGTGTGTGTGCGCGTGTGTGCATGTGTGTGCACGCGCACATGCACTCATGCCTGCATGCATGTGTGTGTGTTCTGTTCCAAGCTAGTCTGGAGATTACTATGTAACTTATGCTGGTCTGAGATTCACAGCAACAATCCTGCCTCAGCCTCTCAAGTACCAGAATTATCGACCTGTGTGTGCCCTTGATCATGTGGGACCAGAGCAAAAGACTGGAAATGCAGAGGATGAGAAGCGGGGAGTGGGGGCTGCCTGCGGGGATTCCCTTCCCAGAGTGGAAGTGTGGGTATCAAGGAAGCTGGCACCATCTGCTTACTCTTCAGATGCTGACGGCAGGAGGGAAAGGATTCAAGAAAATTCAGGCTTAAAACTAATACGAGGAAGTGGGCAAACGTCCTGGTGTGCTGGCTGGACCAGGGGCAAAGCTCACAGTGCAGAAAAGTCTCTGCAATCAGGACAGAGGGTAGAGTGAGGGCCACCTGGAGACTCCACTCGCTAGTTTCTGTTCCTGTATGCTTCAGTGGTCTGGCCAGACCCACCGGTGTCTTGCACTGATCCTGGTAGGAGTTTGGGGGATCAGTCACCATACTCGGGACCCTGGACACTCATGAACAGGGAAGGGAACATAGGGAGGAAGCAACCCAAGGCCCCGGAAGCATCTCAGCCTTCCTCACCCCCCCCACCCCCACCCCGCGTCCCTAAGGACAGATTGATGAGCTGGTCTGGCCAGGGAGGGGGTTCTTGACATTTGCCAGGGCGTAGGCGCGCAGCTATGTACGCCCTGAAGCTAGACGCTAAGTACACAACGGAGGAAAAGGGTCACACGCGGGGGCGCAGGAATCAGGGTTGTTTTATTGACTAGACCACGAGACCAGACTGGAGCTACAAGCTGTGCTTCTGCCTAGGTCAAGCATGGGGGCGCCATCGGTTCTTGGGACGGTCGTCGAGCCTAACAGGATTGGCAAAGATGATTTGCTGCAGGAACCATGGCTGGGCGCGAAGCGTCTCTCCGAAGGCTCTAGAAAGAACAAAGCAGGACTCTATAGAGACAGGGATAAGGTTCTCCATTCTGTCCTCAGGATGGTGTGGAAGGAACTCTGGGAAATTCTCCTAACACAATGACAAACAGAATGGGTAGGGAGGGTAGGGGAGCGTAGTGGCCACATCTATAAAATCAGCAAACAGGAGGATGAGGGAGCATAATATCAAAAAGGGGTTGAGGGGGCTGGACTACAGGATACAACTCAGTGGGCAGAGTGCTTGCTTAGCATGTGTGAAGTCCTGGGTTCCATTTCTAGGACCATGTAAACCGGGTGTAGTGGTGCACACTTGTAATCCTACCACTTGGTAGGTGAGAGAAGGATCAGGAAGAACAAAAAACACCAGTACCCATAGGCTAGTGAGTGGTCTTGTGTGGTCTAAGACCCCTGGAAATTCCCTTGCCGTATGCCACACCCGCCTCCTCTCTCCTACTTACCTAGCAGCGGGCTCCGCTGAGATCCAGGAGTGAAGGCTTAGCGACTGCTCTGGTTGGCGGGCTCCCTCCAGGTCCCGCGGACTCCGGGTTGCATGGACGGGAAGCCCTGCCCGTGAGCTCCCGCTTCGTACTTCCCACAGCTCCTGCCCGGGGGAAGGAAGCAGGAGAGCGCTGCCGGCGACCGGTCCCGGGAGCCGGGCTAGTGGTCCAGCGGCCCCGCCCAGGGCACGGCGCCACAGGTAGGGCGAGCGACGCAGCCCCATGAGCAGCCCCGAGGCACGACCCACTGTGTGATAACGGGGACTCGCCACGTGCTTGTACCAGGCGCCAGCGGGCAGCGGTAGCAAGAGCAGCAGCAGCAGCAGCAGCAGCAGGGGCAGCAGGGGCCGGTTCTCGGGAGCCCCGGGCCCAGGGCCCCGCACTTCTCTGCTCGACGCCAGCGCGCTCATATCTATGGCCCCTTGGCGAATTAGGACAAGAACAGGGTTTATGTGTCCGAGAACGTCGGAGCTCCGGAGGATGGAGGAGATCAGTCAGTTGGTACGACTACAGCTTCTCAGTGGCCCCGCCCTGGCTCGCCCCCGCTGCACATGCCGCGCTCACCCAAGGGAGAGGAGGATGGAGAGGGAGGGAGAAGAGGGAACTCAGGCAGCTAGAAGCCTCTCAATGAGTAGCTGGACCGCGCTTAAAGCTCTAGTGTGGGATGTCCTTGCTTATCCTTTCCTCTCGCCCCCAGGAAGGGAACTGTCATGGAGAGAGTTCTGGTACCATAGTCTCAGAATACAAGGATGTGCTGCCAGGGACAAAGAGATACCCCTTGGTAGGAGCTGCTACACATGGAGCACTTACGGGGGAGGAGACAGCAGAGTTTTGGTGCTAACATAGAGTTTTGAGCGCGGTGCCACCCTTTCCTGAAGGCTGTCCCTCTTCCTGTCTCGCACAACTCTTGGGTTCCCACCCAAACTTGCACTACAGGTGGATCAATGCTTGGAGACCCTGGAGTTTGGAGGTGAGGAATGGGAACACATTCCAATAATCCCAGCATGGATCCTGAGTTCAAGTTGGCCTGATTTTGTGACCCTAGCTCTAGGAAGAAGAAGGAAATAAAGGAGCTGGGGGTGGAGCAGCTAGAAAGGCAGGTAGGCAAGCAGGCAGGACCCTTTGGCCACCTGAAGCCATCCCTGTGGTTTCTGGAGAGCTAGAATGTTAAGAGACAACCCCTTCTGGAACCCTCAGCCACAGGAGGCATGACTGGGCCCTACCAAACTCAGAGCCTCCTCTGTGATGATGCCTCTGCACAAGACCTCCTTCCCAGCCAAATTCAATTAGGGGACGGACTTAGCCCCACTGCAGGTGACTTGTTCGCCTGTGTGTAAGAATATTCTTCTCTTATCTCTCTTCCCAGCAAAACCCTATAAAGTTCAAGACTCCACTGAGATAGCTTTGGTTAGAACAGTCCTTCAGCTCACTGATCAGGCGCCTTCAAAGACTCTACTGTAGTCTCTCCTGATCACCCAAACCCACCCTTCCAGACACAATCCCCAGAAGAGGTCCCTGGATCTCCTCAAACAGGAGTTAGGGATGGTTGTGAGCCACTGTGTGGTTGCTGGGAACCAGACCTGGATCCTTTGCAAGAGCAACAATTACTCTTACCCAGTTAGCATCTCTCCAGCCCCCTCAGATTTTTTTTTAAAGTTTTTTTTTTCTTTTTTTAGACAGGGTTTCTCTGTATAACCCTGGCTGTCCTGGAACTCACTCTGTAGACCAGGCTGGCCTTGAACTCAGAGATTTGCCTGTTTCTGCCTCCTGAGTTTAAACCCTAGGATTAAAGGCATGCACCACCATCAAGTGACAATGCCTGGTTTGTTTATTTGTTTTTCTTCATATGGGGTCTGGCTGTCCTGGAACTCACTCTGTAGACCAGGCTGGCCTCGAACTCAGAAATCCACCTGCCTCTGCCTCCCAAGTGCTGGGATTAAAGGCGTGCACCACTACTGCCCAGCCCAGCCCAGCCAAGCATTCTTAACCTTTGAGCCACCTCTCCTTTTTGGGTCTGGAGAGATGCCTCATCAGTTAATAGCATTTGCTGTTCTTCATTTTTCTTTTCTTTTCTTTTCCTTTGGTTTTTTTTTTTTTTTTTTTTTCGAGACAGGGTTTCTCTGTGTAGCCCTGGCTGTCCTGGAACTCACTCTGTAGACCAGGCTGGCCTCGAACTCAGAAATCCGCCTGCCTCTGCCTCCCAAGTGCTGGGATTAGAGGCATGCACCACCACCGCCTGGCTTGTTCTTCACTTTTCAGGAAGACTTGAGCTTGGTTCCCAGCACCTACATCAAGTAGCTCACAGCTGTCTCCAACTCCAGCCCCAGAGCTTTGACACTTCAGCCCTTCAGTGGACACTTGCACTCACATGCACATCCTCACATGCACACATGAACACCTACATATAGTTTGAAATAATAAAAGATAAACCTTTAAATTTGTATTTTTAAATTGTGCATTTAAAAGTAGATGCTGGGCTGGAGAGATGGCTCAGTGGTTAAGAGCACTGACTGCACTTCCAGAGGTCCTGAGTTCAATTCCCAGCACCCACGTGGTGGCTCACAACCATCTGTAATGAGATCTGATGCCCTCTTCTGGTGTGTCTGAAGACAGCTACAGTGTATTCATATATAATAAATAAATAAATCTTTAAAAAAAAATAAAAGTAGATGCCATAGGAGTTAGATACCCTTAAAGTGACATGAGCACAGTCACTGAAAGTATATTACACCTCTTCAGAGGGATCACCCATTGAAAGTATATTACACCTCTTCAGAGGGGTCACCCATTGAAAGTACATTATACCTCTTCAGAGGGGTCACCCATTGAAAGTACATTACACCTC